AAAACAAAACAAAAACAGGCAGCCATGGGGTAGGGCCAGAATATTTTTGAAAGACTGCATCTCTCAGCTGGCTCGGGAACTCTTTGGTGTTCCCTAGAAAGAGCTGCAGGTTGGCAAAAGGTTTAAAGCTTTGCATTTCGTGTTGTCCCAGTGACCCAGATAATCAACAGAAAAATGGATGGACACATGGGTGAAAATTGAGAAAAAAAACAAACCCAAAACAGCGGAACAGAGCTCTGCCAGCTTCCCTGTAACACCACTTAGAGGTATCAAAATCAAAATCTACCCCCCCACCACCCAAAAATAACAAAAAACACAAAAATCCCCAAATTCCCCAAAGAGAGAGAACACAGACACACAAGGTTACCATCTTTTCTTATTTTTATTGAAAAGGGCCACACGCACCCCTTTTATAGATGATCTCCATAACATCACTTTAGGCATACCACAAACTGAAAACACTGTATTACCTAGTAAAAATAAATTACTGAGGAATGTAACAAAAAAAAACAAACAAAACAAAAAACCAAAAATAGTCAAGGAAAAGTGTAGCAATCATGGTTGCACTATAGGAGACGTATTTATGACTCCATGTAATGCTCTGGGTTTACGGAATAATTCCAACCCTGCTGTAAGCAAAACAAAGTTAAACAGTACAAAGGATAATAATATTAATAATAATAATAGTAATGATCATCATACTGTAAGATTTCAGGACTAAACAAAAATCATGTTGGTTCCATTTATTGTGCATATATCATATCTACTGAGGGAAGGGTGGTGGCATGGTGTAGGGCACCATTGGTGGTGGTGGCGGCTGCTGCTGGGCCTGTGGGGGCGGCGGCTGGGAGTTGAATGGGAATGGTGGGTGGTTCATACCATTCTGAGTGGCCCTCTGCATACCCCCAAACTGAGGGGGACCCTGGAAGCTTTGGTTACCAAAGCCGCCCACCTGGTTTGTAGGAGCGCCAAAATTACCCTGTCCATTGCTGTTGCTGTAATTGCTGCTACCATAGTTACCACTAGAGTTACCACTATTGCCTCCATAGTTGCCACCATTTTGGGCCTTACTGCCACCAAAGGAGCTCTTCGGCCCACTGCCAAACCCTCTGTCGCTGTCCCTGTAGCTACTACCACTGAAGTTACTCCTCCCACCCCCAGAATACCTATCCCGGCGATCATCCTTGTAGCCACCTCTTCCCCCCCTTCCACGACCTGTGTGAGACAAAGGAGAGAGAAGGAAGGGTGGGTGTGGCACCAAGACACAGAAACCAGCATCAGGGCTGCTATGAGATCGTAAAACCCCCCAAAACAAAAAAAAAAACCAAAAAAACAAGTCACAATTAAAAAGTACCACAATTACTTTATTAGATCTAAATATAAGGAAAAACACCTAATAACTGACAGAAGAACGAATTGCAAAGTTCAGTAAGGATAATAAAAATCTAGAGCTCTACTTTGAAGTCAGTTTATTTTCCCCCAAAAAATCAGATTTGAACATTATAATAAGCAACATTTCATGGTTATTTTCCTTTCTTAATATCCATTCTTGGACTGTACTGGAGTAGCTACACCTGTATGCTGTGTCAACATTTAAAGTGGAACTACTATGCTTTTCCTTGAATATAACACTTCTCTCTTATCCACAAACAAACACACAGTGTGCTAATTGTAGGTGCAGCCCCGTGACAGAAGGTGGGGTGAGAGAGAGAACGAGAGAAGTCAATTACAATCAATATATTAAAATATGAAAAAAAAACAACTTTCTAATCTTCAGTTTTATAACTGAGTTTTAAATGGCCAAATATGAAATAAAAATTATAATAATTACAAAAAATATATTCTTGATCACCTATTTTTGATGCTGAAATGTCAAAAAGAACTAAAATGGAGACGTGCCAACCAGATGCTAGAGAGAAAACTTAAGGTGTTGGCGAAGCTGTCCCAGCGTATGCCTGAAATAACCATATTAGGCATATCCGTCTCTTGTATAGGTCCATGAACAACGAAAACTGAGTGTTTACAGCAGTCTAAACCATTTAACTTTTATTTAGAGACTAACTCCTGATACTTGGATCTCATTTTTTGGAAAAGACTAATTGGTTCACTTTAAATCGCCTCTCCAATAACATCACTGATCAATAACAAAAACTGAGTATCTACTCGTCAGTAAGTCTAGCTCACGTTTAAATCCTAATGTAAATAAGAATGACATTTTACCTCCTCTGTCCTCTGCCATCTGGATCAGCTTGGGGTTAATGGCCTGGTTGGCCTCGCGGAGCACAGAGATCAGGTCACTGGCTTGTTTCATGTTGTTGGGGGTGAAGAAGGTGTAGGCTGTGCCCGTTTTTTGACTTCGGGCTGTGCGTCCAATGCGGTGGATATAATCCTCGGAAGAGTTAGGGTAGTCATAATTGATGACAAATTTCACATCCTCCACATCTGTGAAAGTGTTGCAGTGTGGCAAAACAAAACAAGGAGGCCACAAAGGATTTTGCACACCACAACAGCCAGATCAAAGGGAAAAATTAGCAACTGGGAAGGCTGGGGAAGAAAGGCGACTGTTAGCCTGTGGAGGAAACACGTTAAAACATCAGAATTGCGTACAAGTCTACTCCATGGGAATACTACTGTGGGAAGAGAGAAACGATGCACACTCCAGTTGCTTACCATAATCAAAAGACATGACTCTCCCTTTTGTTAACCAAGGGAGAAAAAAAAAATGAATTTAAGTCTTACCATTAAGGAGTATGCATTCACTAGTCCTTTCCCAATGCAGCGAAATCCCCCACAAATTGTCAAGTGACATCCAGGAGCTTCTACGCAGTTGGGCCACGATATGCACTGGGGCCTCCTCGTGCCAATATAGGACCATTGAGTGGTACATTTTTGCATGTCCAGGCTTTTCCCAGTACACTCTCAAAAGAAACTTGTTATTAAAGGCCGCACTGCGCGTCTTGCCAAGACAAAATAGACCGAGTACTAATTTAAACAGGGGCCCGCTTCAAAAACCATGAAAAAGAGCCAAACATTGAACCCTGTGGGACCCCTGAGCGAACACAGAACAATTACCACCACCCCCACCCCCTTCATCAGTATCATCAAGGCAAGATCTTCCAAGAAGCCAGTGTTCACTTGAGAAAATGTCTCTTGTTGGCAGGTCTCGACATGACTATAAAACGCAGGCGAGGGAGGAACTTTGGTTTGAGCTGACTCTCTCTTTTTCCACTCACTAGATGCTCCCACTACCCCCTAAACACATGTGCCAGGTCTCCTCAATTTTCAGAGACATGATTTCAAACTGCTCTCTCCATTTTCAAGGAATCCAGCACTTTGACGGCAAAAGAAAACAACTGAAAGCTTTGACAAGCTCACACCCATGCTATGTGATACAAGCTCTGAAAGGTAACAATTGTTCCAAATCTCAAACAAGTGACTTGCAATACAGCGCTCTCTAACACAACAGCATGCAAGGCAAAAGTCACAGCATCAAGCATATCTCTGTTTTTTAACGTTTGAGTTGGAAACAGCTGGATGGCATTTGTCAGGTGAAATCCATGGACAGAGAACAGATGTGAGCGTTTTTCAACAACATATCAGAGACAAAGGCTTAGCCACACAGCCTTTTGAAGATCACTGGCACACAAGAGCTTTCACCTCTCTAGGCCCACTGGGTGGCAAGCCAGTTGAGCAATTCCAATATGTCATCCTGCTCCCTCTCGAGGCCTGGGACTGTCATGCCTAGCGCCTGCCACAAAGACTCCACCTTAAGGTGAGAAAAACTCAGAAAATGCATAGAAAAGTTAAAGAAAGCAAAAGCACTTTCTTTAAAATAAGTGTAACACTGATAATAAAGTAGTACTATTCAATGCCATACTGACCTAAGCCCCGGGAGGCCACATCTGTAGCAATGAGAATTGGCGCTTTGCCATATCTGAATTCTGGAAGGAAAGGGACTAAATTGAGTAAAATATAGAGTAACAATGATTGTTTCAATATTAAAACCCAGATCCATTTTATTAACACAAAAATCATATCTTACCGTTAAGGACCCAGTCTCTCTCCTGTTGGCTCTTGTCTCCATGGATTCCCATTGCAGGCCACCTGTCTCACACACACACAGTCAGCCTAGATTAGTCCACTGTCAGTCCACTGAGGAGCATGTGTTGAAATGCCTATAGGCTCTTACTTAGGCAGTTAATATGAACCTTTATCTAAAGTAACTTTAATTTTATGTGTTTCTGGGTCAAAACCTGCATGTATATTTACAGCAAATGTGACACATGTTGCTTCAAATATTTGCTGAACTTGACTGTAAATTAGGGATGTTCGATATAACGATATATATCTGATGACGATATTAAAACGTCTATCGTTTCATTTTACGCTATCGTTTGTTTCGTGGTGTCGCAAAATAAACTCTTTACGGCAATATTTTTCCATCGTTTTGATGGTCACTGTAGTGGCTATATTAATTTCTTAAAGTTCTCTCTTTCTCTTATATTTAATATAACCACACTACAGACGGACAAGCGCTTGTTTTTATGCATTGTCGTTAGCAACAACGACGTTAAAACCATCGCGTGTCTGCTTGTTTATGTTCCACATAAACCTTTCACAATAAAGCTCAAGATCCTGTTGAGACTTTTCAAAACCTTAGACTCAAACATTAGAACAGGCTTTTTCCCGCAGCACGCCGTGTAATAAGTACTCACAAAGAAAACGGCGGCCGTTACAACCTATGTCTAAAAATGTAGTTTCATGCACTCGACTCCAGGTACGCGACGCCCAGCTGGAAACATTTCACGCAAGTCGAGCTGCCCAAGATTCACAGAATTTACAGAAAATGTTACATTTTTGTGATTTATATCGTTATCGGGACGATAGATGTCTTAATATAGGGATATGAGATTTTGGTCATATCGCACAGCCCTACTGTAAATACGATTAAAAAAAAAAAAATTAAGGATATGG